GAGGGGGAGGAAGAAGGTCTCGGCTTGCAGAGTGGTCCGGTGAGGCCCAGCTTGGAGGACTCGGTCCTCGGTGTGAGGAAAAGCGCTCAGATTCCCCGTGATAAGGGTGTGAGTGGAGTGGAAGCTTTACTGCTGCTTCTCCCGCTCTTTGGGGAATCTCTGGTTGGCACTAGACTTTAAAGCAGTTTTGACCTGAAACCCATCTTATATCTCCACACGGACTCATAGTTTTAGGGCTGTTTTGATGCAGTTTGGGTGCCTTTGGGAATGAGGACTTTTCTGAGGCAGTGCTTGTTGTAGGATTAGGGCAGACGGGCATGATCGCTTAGGAACAGTCCTGTTTGTTAGACTCTCTTCACTCCCTCTTCCTTAACACTGGCAGCTGTGTAGGTGTCCTGAGTAGAACATCTCAGCTTTAGGAAGGACAGCAGCAAGTGCTGAAACTTTGGGAATGGAAGATCTGGGGTCTGCACTGAGCAGTGCTGTTCCTTACCTTCTTGCAGTAAAGTCTTGCTTGAGGAAAATTGCCATGGTTTTTTTGCTGCTCTTTACTGTTCTGGGAACAGCTGGTATTTTCCTTTGCTGTCCTACCCTGGCTAATAAGCTGGCTGGCTCAAGTCTGAGCTGGCTCTGCAAGCAGTCATCATAGATCTAGAAAAGCTTATTCGTTTGGCCCTGGACCATAGCTCATCTAGCTTGTTCTTAGCAGGAGGCAGCTACTGATATTTGGGGCAATAGCTGGAGAATGTTTGGGAAATGTTTGTTCCTTCAGCCAGGTTTGATGAATTCCTCTCTTACTTCCATCATATGTATTATTGGATCCTGGTAACCATCACAGAGGGTGGTGTGTAGTTAAGCCTCACCTTCTTGTGCAGAGTATCCTCAGCTGTGCTTGCATCAGGCTCTTTCTTGGCTAGGGCACAGCTGCTGCTTAGGCTTAATACGTATGCGTACTAGGCAGGGTATAGGGAGATGGTGTGTAATATGGATTACTGTATGCTCAGCTTTTGTGCGCTTCTAAGCTGAAAATGCACAAGCATCACATTTAAGCAATAGTTTAGCGTATATTAGTGTCTGTCTTGCCACATGCATCTGTATGATTGTTCACTGTGCTACTGGTGTAATTTAAAAAAAAATCGTGTTCTAATTTTAAATTTTAGCTTATTGTAGTTTTTAAAACACGGTATTTGTATTTAGTGCCTTTCCAGTGCATAAGCTTGTCTTCCTTGTGGGTGACAAATGCAGTTGTGTTTTGGACAAACAAAGTGGCCAAGACCCAGTTGGGGGATGGGGAGTTATGCATAAACATAACATATGCTCATGTGAACTCTTGAGTATGCAAAATTCTTCTGAAGTAGTGTGGAAATCTGAGTATCTTGGAAAAAACTAGTACTGCAGTGTTTAGTAAAAGCAAATTAGTGATGTCTTTAGATCAAAAAGAGCTTAAAAAAAGCTTAGAGACCTTTGAAAATAACACTCATGCCAAGCAAACTGAAATAATTTGTTGCGATGCTGCAAGAGTGTTCACTGGGTAAAATTACTTTTTAAACTGATTCTGAGGAAGATGGTAGTCAGCAGCTTTACTTGATCTGTGTTTTTGTTAGCCATGGAGATAAAGTGTATGTAAAGAAGGGCAAGTCATTTGTGTTCCAGATATAAAGCTCTTGTTACTCCTATAATTAAAAATATTATAGGATTTTTATTTCTTTGGTAGAATTTCTGAATTCGATCATAAATTTAACCTTTCATTGTAAACTGAGCACACTTGACGAAGATCTAGAGATTTAGTATCTTTTCAGTCCTTTGCAAAGTACCTGTAACATTTTAAGTATTTCAGGGACATGACGCTTTTAATTTTTTTTTTTTAGCTGAAAGAAAGGGCTTTAAAGTTGCTAAAACTTAAAAACTCATGAGACAGAAACCCTTAATGTTGCCAGTAGGTCTGCTATTATTGTTATAGACTTCCTTCTATAAATGGTAAAAATAGCTGGTGTAACCAAACTGCTGACAGAAAGGGGTGTTGTCTTATCAGTTATTCATCACCTGTAGTGAGTTTGCTAAATTGGACTGTATTTGTGAGGGTTTGTTACATAACTTGCTGTCAAGACTTTAGATAACTGGCATCGAGTGTCTTACATATGATACTCAGAACATACAGTGAACACAAACACATGTATATATGTGCACTGTGCTGTACAGTATTCTCTGCTCAGTGTATTGTGGAGTGGTGAACATACCTTCCTGCTAGCAGAAATACACCAGTATAGGAGACCTGTAGCTGCCTGGAATGAAAAATTTATCATCCGGAAATCACTCCCGTATCTGAAAATGATGAAATGTAACTGTGAAAGTACTTCAGTAGTCTCTTTAGAGAGTCGTATGTGTGTTTTCCATGCCACGTGCACAGTCTGTATTGATCATGTGTGAGAAGCACTGAGCTGGCATTTGGAAACTTAATGGAAAATATATTGCATCAGCTTTGTAGAGCTTTAGGAATCTCGATAGTGGATGCAGGGTATGTTACTAGCTTGTTGCACAACATGTTAGGTGGTATTTCCCCTCTTTAGATAACAGATTGGACTTAGTTTCTCTTCAAAATCTTGCGGGTTTCTTTCCCCTCCTGTTTTTGCTATAATAGCATTTTCACTGAGGCACAGGATGACATGGAAATGATTTGAAAGCAGATGTCAGAGTAAAAAGTTATGTGGGAATCAAGAAAAGTGTGGTGCTGTTTGGTTTAGAAGGAATTTAATTGACTGCTAGTCCTTTCTAAATCTCTGTGAAAGCTTCAGTCTAGACAAGTGAATCTTCAATGAGCTCTCTTGAAAGCTCAGTCCTTAAGTATTTTTTTCTCAAATGTAATATCCTTCAATTTTCATAACATTTTCATTCAACACTCAAATATTGTATAGATATAAGTGACTTAATCCTCATAATACTCCTGTGAGAAAGGTAATAAACCTAATTTTTTATCATGCTATGAACCTCATTACTGCTTG